ACACACACACACACACACACACACACACACACACACACATATACGCAAATCTACACAAACATACATACACACATACTTATGCCTATTATTTTTTGTCTATTATCTTATCACTATCACTAAAAGTGTGTAACCACGATCGCTCAGTCTCATTTTTATAAATTAAATTTTAAATACAGGTACATATTTTTGGTCCCGCCTAACTGCACACTGTCTCCTAAGACACAGACATTTGTCTAGTCCTTAGATTTGTTACGCCTTTTCTACCTGTTTGTTTTATATTATTTTATTTTGTTTACATTTCGAACCTGTAAATTACTTCTCTGTGCTATAAATAAGGCTAAGGTGTGTTTTTGAATAAAGATATATTAATTATTTGTTTAAATTTTCATATTCAAAGTTATGTTTTTTTAAAGTTGACGTTTTTTCTTTAATTAGTTTTACCTGTTTTACAGAATTTTCCCAAATGCTTGATAAACATTCACAAAGCGATGGTGAGCAGAAATAAACCACTGTTTATTGTTATCCAATTATAAGGAAGTCAATAACTCTAGAGTCGTCGCCAAGATATTGGTTTTCTACAGTCTTATTTATCTTGTTTGTAGTGGGACAGTGACATTCTTTACGAGTATAGTTTAATGAAACTTTCTGAAACTTTACGCATTTATCCGTTCTGTAACGATGCTTTTAAAAAGTTACCAAACTATATCTTGTCGCGTCAGTATAATTGAGTACGTCTGACAGGCTGTTTAATGGTGGTCATACTAGCATGTCATCAAGTGTATTTCATTTGTTTCTTTGTAAATAAATGTCTTGTACGCTAGTACATAGATATCGCTGCTTGTCGCTTTTTCCCTTTAGGGCAACTCTGACTTGATGGTGCCAAAAGCACTTTCTAGCAACGTGCTGATAAAGGCAAGTCCATATGAGCTCCTAAACATACATTTTATGTTTTAATTTAAAACATAAGCTTGTGTTGGTAGCCTAACCTACCGCCTTTCAAGCAGAGGTCGTTTGTTCCAATCCGGACCTTTGAGTGTAGTCTTCTTTAAAATTTACCATGAGCTTTTCGGCGAAGGAAAACATTGTGAAGAAACCTGCACGCCGAAGAAGGTTCACACCCCTCGGAAAACGTGCCAAATCCAAACTCGCGTGAGCCAGCAGTGTGGCAGGACACCCGCGCCTGAGCTGGGATGTATAAACGGGTTGCTGATAATGACATAAGCTTGTGATTAATTTATCACATTTAAGAATGCCTAAAACGTAATCATTCTTATATGTATGTTCTACATTTACATTTAATCAATTTCGGTATCATATTTAATGTCCCATAGTCACGATTTGTAACAAACGTTTAATTTAGTAAATTATAGTTGGTGCAAGCTTCAAGTGTCCTTATGTAGGTATGAGTAATTGTTAATTTTTTCTTATTTTTTATCCTTTTTTGTAATAATGTATGATTTAATAAAAGCTTACGTCATATCCATAGGGTGCAAATGTAATTAGTTCCTCTATGGAAACCATTGTATTATGATAATTTGCCTCCAACAGCGAGCTGTTGTCTCGCAGCATGATTGATTGCTGCAAGTGTTGCGGGTAAACGGACACTTGCCGTATAATACGGCAGAGGGCAGGCCGATCCAATTATCACTAATGGATGAATTCCCTTCGCTCCTAAGTGGGCGGGAATAGACAAGTATTTATTGTAGTGCCCTGTTACAGAGTCTGTAACACTGACAACTCTTGTTGTTTTATTGCGTAACAAACTTTACAAACTAAGGATATTACGACAGTTTGTGTCTTCTTATTCTAGATGAATAAATGTAGAGCTAGCTTATCATTCCACGCACACACGCACAAACACTCAATATACATACATACTGTAGGTATAACTCTGGCTTACGAAGTTATGCATTATTTCTCATGTTAGGCTCTTTTCACATACCTATGGATTACTAAATTATGGCTTAACGTACAAATACGCTATGAAAAACAAAAAGTTTGCTGTTATGACAACAAAGAATAAAATAATAATAGATATATGTAGGTGAATATTCTCCGTCTACTTAGTAATAAATTACATTCATCCATTTGCCGTCCCTAGTGTATTCCCCGAGTATCTATCCCTACCAAATGCATAAATTGATTAGGTATTTAGAGGATACCATATTAACGAATATTAACGTTTAATTAAGACATTAACGAATAATCATTACGCGAACAAAAAAATAGTAGATATTCCTTCAAACAGTGTTACGGTTCCATTTTAGTCATAAGTAGTGAAATAGTAAGGTAAGCATATAAAGGAAGTCCTAGTTGTGTTGAGCCATGTAAACGAGTTTTAAAATCAGCTTTTGGTGAACTAATCGTTTTACCGATGTAAGGGCAGTCAGTTATTAATAATAACGATCTACTAAGAATTATTCGCATATTATTATTATTATTATATATTAGATTTGGGCGGCAATTTATAATTTCTTCTGCAAGCTTATGGATCATTTGTACATGATTAGGAGAAGGTAAGGAAATAAACTAGTTGAATGACTTAATTCAACTAAATCAACTCATGCCATACATATATTAGGTACAATCATTTAATATTCCAAAAAGAAATAGTTCGAATGTGAATTTTTCAACTAACGTTACTCAGAAATATACAGTCGGGAATTAGTGGCCGATAGATCTATTTCAGAGCTTCCGCAACATGAATGAGGTATCAAACCGGTGCGGCGCATCTTCGGTTAGGTATTAAATGGCGTAACGTTCGTAAATCCGTGACGTAAGTGTACTTGTAGCCAGTTGATCGGTTTAGCGCGGGAGCATCGCGGCCAGTCCGCGCACTGGACTTCGGGGAAGGAAGCCACTCGCTCCGCAGGCACCCACTTGCGAATACTTCGCACGCGTTATTCCCTTCGAGTTACACTTCGGTTGAAAGTTTGGGAGGTTAGACGAGAAAATGTAGCGCAATGTCGGTGTGCGGACAGACTGACGATGACAGCGTGTCGGAGGAGCCACCGGGCGCTCCAGTTCGGGAAATGTACGAACAGAAAGCTGTGAGCAAGGTGGTTCGGGTGCTCACTGTGCTGGCATATCTCTTGTCTGTGTCCCTGGCTGCAATTCTCCTCTCCGTGTACTACGTGTGCGTATGGAAACCGGTCAACCTGAACGACACCGAGCCGAAGACCGACGCACAGGTGGCCCCCAACAATGTTTACAGTACAGAAAAAACCTTGCATTTGACATTGTTTAATGCTGCAGGTATGTGAATGTGTTAAAGCTCATGCAACTTTAATGTTCTAAATTTAGTTATCCTTTGACATAATATAATTTTGAGAAGTTTCGGAACCTTGGCAATAAAAGTCAGAAAATCAACTGGAAAATTGTGTCTCGGTACGTTACTTTACGAAAATTATTATTACGAAAAATAAATTTAAATAACCACCTCATATAACTTGCTAAGCAACATCCAGATGTATTCATATAATAATTACAAAGAAATACAAAATACTTTAGTAAGTAGGTAATAAAAATTTTACCGCTCTCAGAACAGTAAGTTGATGTAATCAGAAGAAAATAAACTCTTAAATAAAGAAGAAATACAAAATTTTAATAAAATTTAATATGTTAATAGCAAAATTCATGCACCGAGTCCGAGAGCTCCATACGTAAATGACTTTCGTGATTATCATATATCACAAATATTTAAGTTCTCGCTACTCTTAAGCTCTATTTTCTTTTTGGAACTATGTTCATAACTATATTTTTCCTATACACGCAACTCCTTCTATCAGTACTATCAATTTACCAATTAGTTAACAGTTTTCATAGGGCAAATAGTTGTTTGGGTCACTAGGGAGCGAAAGGCTAGATATACATGCGGTGAAGCCTCTATATTATATCCAAAGCGGAGAGTAAAATCTGAAATAATCAAACTTTCGCCTTATATAGTGATAAAACGGGCCATGGTAATTTTTGCCAAAAAATGGAAAAGTATGCAAGAAAAATTAAAACTCAAAATTGTTTTGAAATTTATAACGAAAGTTTTTTCATATGACACCCCACTCGATCTAATTGCTCCACATTAAAACTAGGTAGGTCACGCTAAGTAGCACGTAATCATTGGAAATGTGGAAATTTGATCAAGCAATATTATACGTACTTTTGGCAACACTTATATAACTTATATGCCTAAATTATACCTAAGCTACCACTATATTTTTGATACGTAGGTACTGGTTGATAAAAGCGGGAATCCCTGGCACAAGTATAAATTGAGCTTCTAAATAAAACATGTTTTTTATTAGAACCACAGAAATTTAAATATATTTCGATTACTGTGCTTATAAGTTTTGAAATCTTTCAAGACTTAACATATAGTCAAAAAACTACTG